CGTGGGGAGGGCACGTGGGGAGGGCTCGTGGGGAGGGCACGTGGGGAGGGCTCGTGGGGAGGGCACGTGGGGAGGGCACGTGGGGAGGCCCTGTGTTTCACCAAAAAAAGCTATAAGAGTTTGAATTAAACAGAAATACATGTGTGCTGCCTGTAAAACTATTCCGGCAAATGCACAATGTAAACAAAGGAAGAATAATGCAGAAGTGTAACAATGCAGAAGCGTAACAATGCAGAAGCGTAACAATGCAGAAACATGCGCCATAGGGCACCGACAAAATCATCACTGAAAATCATGCTATTGGATTTTCTAATTGCCAGATACCGTAGTCTATATGGGAGGGCGACCCATATAGCTTGATTATACCAACAAACTTCTGTCGGGTACAACCCTAATAATAATAATAATAATATGAATTGATTTTTATGGACATTTGTCTAGTCTGACTTGATAAATTTTCATCTTCGGCAGCAAAACAATTCATGGTCAATCATACCGGAATTTTGAAAGTGAGGTACATGATGTATTTTAATAGATATTGCTCAATATTTGCTACTGCAAGACACATTCTGGCCTTGTGACATCGTGCTGTGTTTCCCCTAGTAATACATAAACACTTTAAGAGTGTCCTCATCCCCTTACCCAATGCAGAACAGACTCATGTGACAGGATTCGTCCAATGAGAGTGACNCCTCATCCCCTTACCCAATGCAGAACAGACTCATGTGACAGGATTCGTCCAATGAGAGTGACTGCCTCATCCTGGACGCCCCTCCACATTTTTATACCGGTTATGGAACTACTTATTCAGTGCAAGTAATGTCCACACTAGACTGACACAAGGCCATGCAGTTAAGGAGCTGTTACTGCTGCCAACTGAACTTCCTCCTTGCTGACTTTCCTTTCTAACATCACAGACGTCCAGCTGATGGAGCCCAGGTCTGGGTGTCCTTCAACCACATGGCTGAAAGGTTCCTTCCACCCTCAGCTTTCACACACACCATGCCCAACATCCCCAAGTCGGTCATATCCATGCCAGCACACTGTCTTTGCTTGCGTCTAATCAAAAGATTTATGGAACCACTTTGGAGTGATTGCATAGCTGGGGGGAGGGGGGTGACGATGGGACCTGCCCCCCCAGGGGACTCCACAGCCTGCCCCCCCCTTTGTAGCATCATCACAGGCTCCCACATGGCCCCCCTCTGTCAGATTTTACATTTCTCATAGTCAGAAACCATAACAAAAACAAATAATGCTCATCAAAGGGGGGGGGGGGGGGGTTCACACAGGATCAGAGCATGGAGATCCCGTCTCATGGCGTTTCAAAGCCTTTTCCAGTAATGAAAATGGGAGCATTTAATCAAGATTGACAGCAACTCAGGGCTTTATATGCCACACTCTGGAAATAACCTCTGTCTCCATCACGTTCCAGACGGCCATCAATAAACAGCGGGTTCCCCCACGCTGGCATGTGACCAAAGACAAAGCGAATGCAGCGTCACAAGATCATCACAGGGAACCTACAAAATCCCTACGTGCAAAGAAACTGCCTCGGCTGGGTTTATATGCTACTGCAGAGCCATGGGAATGATCTTCGGCTACTGACATGTTTCTCTGTAATTCTTGACTCAGACACAAACCACATAAAGCAACAAAATAAACAGAACAAACAAAGCTCTAGTCTCAAGACAGTTACCTATAAAATTTCATTAAAGTCAAAACTCAAAAGGATGTGAAGGTCAGTCTAGATCTTCGACTTTGAGAAAGACTGTTTTTGCCTTTGAGTTCATTGAACTCACAAGCCTGTCAACGCAAGGAAAAAAGTGTTACTGCAAAACTAAGCTAAGCATTCCAGTGCTTACCTGCAGAAATACCTGTACAAAGTGGTAACATTCATCAACAAGGAGTTCAATCTGTAAATAAGGCTGGCATGGAAGGGAACATCCAGTGAGTTTAAAATTCTTTGGTCTGTATCCTCAAGTCTCTTTAGGAAAACCTTCAAATGGCCAAACAGCCACGACAGAAACCACACGATATTCTGAGCAGTGACAAGCCCGGGGGGGGGGGGGGGCAGATGGACGAGCATCATCAGCTAAGCCAAAGTGATATTAATAACCTTTATATATTTTTCACTCACTCCATTATTCAAGAACGCCACCAAAAATCAAACATGTGAAACATGAATTACACAGGGCATGGAAGTTTTTTCAAGGAAGCATTTACCCCCCATATTCCCGCAACCTCACGTTAAATGAGATCCTTGCAGCATTTTCTCCAGTGCACTTCAAATCAAGCCAAGCCCTTCATTGTTCATAGCCTGACAGCCGCAAAAACCTCCATCAAAATGACTCTGTCCAGGCAGGAAACACACCTAACTATGAATGGCTTTTATAGTCTATCAAACCATTCAGTAAAAGAAGAAAGATCATCTTTAACCAAACAAGCGCCTTGATCGGTATCCATTTAATCTTACGTCATCTAGGTGAGGCAAAGCTCACGCGTCAGAGCTATAAAAACAGTTTATGCTAGTGCCGATTTCACATGGCGTCCTTGTTAAGACAAAGTGGGACTGTTTCATTTGTATTCTCGACGATTTCACGCATTAGGCACAGAACATGAATACCGTCTTTATGGATTTTTCCATAGACCATCAGTGGGCGTCGCGCTGTTTTGCCTACAGTGAAGCGTCCATTGCGACAACGTTAAAAACTCTGAGAAAGAGTGAATTGTCTCAAATCTAACTATAAGTATTTTGCTTCAGTTTAAAACTTGCTTTTCTCGAACATTAGAAACAAGACTCCTTCAGACCCTTTGCACAACCGACTTGTTCTGGCTGTAGAAACATGTATGAACCGACGGACAAGGTGTATTTATTCAAACAGGTACAATCTAGTTGAACGGACATTCTTTAATGTTCTTTTTCAAAGAATAGTAAATAAATGACACCCATAATATGGTAATGTGGTACTTTCACTTGTTCGGATTTTAACATTTTATTCTGGTTAAACTGGGGCGCACATGCCGTGATGTAGGCGGCTGTAAATGACAAGAGAAAATCCCTTTAGGCGGCGTGCTGTGCATGGGCATTAGGAAGCTGTGTCGCCGGCTGCTTCTGCAGTCTGATTATTACATTTTTATCAAAGTGTCAGCGTGTTTTGATGATCTGCCAAGTTCATTTAGGTTAATATTGACCGTAGATAGATTACTGGGTGGTGCTTAGCATCTCTCTGTGATCCCTGGAGTGCGTTAAGCGCAAAACATGTGTAAATGGTCATACGAATAAAACATTTATCAAGTGCTCCCACCCCCAAAAAAAGCAACAAAAATATACAATGCATACATCATATTCCAACACACATTTAATATTAAAGATATTTCATTAAAAATAACACATCACTCGCCTCAAGAAAATCCATGCTTCTATTAATTGCTTAATAGAAATTCGACATTTTTCCTTTGATTTATTTATTTATTTTTAATTTTGGCAAGTAATAAACTTCCCTTAAAATTAGGGAAAACGAACAGTTTTTAATCTTACTACTATTTTCAAAATCCATGTTGACAGTTATATTTTAAGTTATATCTTAAAAGAAAAGTCCGGCGTTTAATATTATAATTTTATTTACTACCTTGTAATGACCAAGAAAAATCATAATAAAACATAGGCAAACAGGCTCATTACACTCATCAAATCAACTCCAAAGTGGTTCCTTAATTTTTTTGATTAGACACAAGCAAAAATTTAAAACGTGCAGCCGCGGGGGTGTCGTTCGGTGCACCACCAAGCTCTATGACAAAGTTTTCAATCGAAAGGCACATTGTTTGAAATAATTTTAACACCCAGTCCGCATCTTTAGGTATAAGTTTGAATGGAATTTATGCATGTTCCAGCTGTAAAGGAGCCCTGTGACTTACAGATAGGAAGTGAAGACGCTGAGGTTTGCAGGGAGATCCGCGAGACCGAGGTCCGCGCAGTCCACGCGCAGGAGCGCCCCGTCCCCCTCGCACTGACAGCGCCGCGGACAGTCCGCGCGCCCGACCAGCGCCAGCGCCGCGCCGCCGAAGACCGACGCAAAGACCAGCCAGCAAGCGCGCATCTTCCAGGCTCCAAGTCACTTATAAGCAGGAGTTTCTCTGAAGCCGGCCGGCCAGCAGGCCTGCATGCGCTAGTACCCGCCGTCGGCAGACTCAGCTCGTCGGAGCGGCGCATTTGAGCCTCCGAACTACGGATTTATGCGGCTTCCTGACGTCACCAGGGAAAGAGCGGCGATCAATAAGCGATCTCAGCGTGCTTTCCTTAAGGTACGCCTTGGGTGCCAACTGCTCTGATTCAATATAAATAATAAACAACCAGTCCGACTGCCCATTACAACAAACGATGAATAGTTTTAGTTTAGTGGCAGGTGTCCATGTTTTATGTGTTAATTTCTTCTGCGTTATATATCAGATACCGTGTTTATTATATATGACAGCCGAATAAAGGAAATTTAGGTAAAACTGTGTCTCATCCCCAAATCATGATTTAATATTGAAAAACTATTTTAGGCAGTTGTAGCCAGAAATCCGGTCGGGGCGACGGTTTCTGAAACACTTTCATGCGTGTGAAACTAAGAATGAATCTAGTATAATCTAGTATGAGCTAATATATATATAAAGTATATACGTGAAACGCTCGGTATATAATGTGTATTAAATAAATTAGAGTACCTGAATCAAAAATCGGATTCAGGCAGAGGTTGACATTCATACGGAAAACGAAATTATTGTAATTATGTAATAATTCAATGTAATAATATTGTATCATCTTAAAAGGAGTATCTACCCGATTTTTAAATACCGCCCAAGGTTTCGCTTTGGAAGAAGCTAATATTGTTACTGATATTACAGTAATTCTCTTTAAAACTCTTTAAAAACGAATCACAGGGCTATTCCTAAGACCACAATATTAAGCCTATTATTTTCATTCCACTTAAAAATTCTGTGACAATAAAATGCTAGGCCATGTGGTCGATTAGAAAGTGCTGCTTGAATTTAGTTTGACAATAAGTGAAAGCAGATAAATCCGTCCTTATATTAATGTTGCCCTTCTGAAGATCGACCGAAGAGGCCACAGCAGCCCGAAAGGCAGAGTTATCGGGCATCATCTTTTTCCTTTTGGTCCCTGTTATGCAGAAACGTATGTTTTTGGTTATGTAAATTTGGTGAGCTGACGTGTTTAAAATGCATCACTAAATTATTAAAATTAAATATATACGGGCGAGAGAAATTACAGGAAAACGACATGAACTTTTAAGTCATACAGTCCCCGGAATTGTCTCTGTGATTAGCTTTTACCCAGTGAAAATGTGTAGCGACAACTTTATATACATTTCTCCTGTGTTTTGTTTCGTACCCAGCCCGAAACTTGTGACTGTGTGAATTTTAAAGTACTGTCTTTATTTTCGCCATTGGTATAGATAAAGTGACAATTTTGTGCTTTAAAATATCATAAAATATTGTACCAGACAGGAGGGGGCATTTTTGGCGTTGGACCGGAGGTCAATAACGGAATTTTTTGTTGCTTAAATGGTATTAAAGACAACAGCCTTTTTTCTCAATCAAAACATTTTGCAGCGGACACATACGAGTCTTGGCCCGGACTTCTTTGTCCATACGATCCATGCCCTGACTGATAATAATCATCTCATTTCCATGGCTGATTTAATGCCACGAATGTAGTTAAATATAGTTTATGCTGTGTTGAAATAGCTATAATTACCTTGTTGACGCCTGTGAGTAATTGTAACAAGGTATACTAGCATGATGCCTTATGCCATTTACATAAAAACGTCAGACGTGATTTATGGTACGATGGCATCGTTTTAGAGCCGTCGGCTCAAAGCGCTTCGGATGCCTCTGGGCTGGAATAAAACTCAAAGAGGTGAAACCCGGACACGCCGCCTATAGTCACAACGCAAGGAGTAAATATTTTAATTTAATAGATGAATAGAAATGTAATAGATTTCCCACGAAACCCTCTCTACGTGTCGTTAAAGGTTACGGTTGTCAGCTGTACTTCTCGGATTCTTTTTAATGTCCATTTTGTTGGACACATGGTGCCGCTTTACCTCTGCGCCAGAGCCGCAAGGTGCGCAAACATAAGAAGCGCAGACGTGCCGCTTTGAAGTGCCTTGAATTGCAGCACAGCCGAATCCCCTAAGGGGGCTTACAGGTAACCCCCCCCCCCCCAAGTTTACTGGCTCAGGAGCCAGAAGGCTCATGCGGTTTTATCCTTCAGCGAAATCTGCTTAACTTCAATTGTTTCAATAAAATCCCCAGCTGTTTGAATGGGTAAGAAATTGTACATCGCGTTGGATTAACGAGAGCTCAGCAACTACACGTATCCTGAATATATTTTATGTGGACATTCACTCTAATAAATTAAGCAATAACATACAGTTTTCCTTTAAAAATCGAATAATCCATTGTGGTATTTTCATGCCTGCATGAGTTGGCACCCCCTCCTGAGATGTGCCCACAGCTTCCGTGTTAGGCTCCAGACCCCCGTGGAAAGGAAAAGCGGGTGCAGAAAATGGATGAATTAAGGAATGCACTAATGTTACATGTACACTTTATACTTATCATAATATCCAAGGCTGTATAATTATTTTGTTATATTACTTCATTGTATTCCACCCTGCATATTGGTCTACTGTCAGTTTTGATGCTAAATGCCTCAGCATCAAAAACCCTTATTGCATTGGGGTGATTTATAGAATAGCTTATATCTCGGGAACTGATGGACTGTAAAAATGTTCAGTAACACGGACGTTCCTGAGCGAGACAAATCATTGTCACAATAATCGATTAATAGGTCGAGTTTGCAGGACTGAAGGGTTTACCTTTATTTTACCTTTATTAACCAGTGGGTTAATACTATTTATTCCATAGTCGTCAAATTATTATCTCGACACTTAATCTTGTCCTCTGGTAATAACTACGAATGACAGCCATGTATTACCTCTAAATGCTGATTTGTTCCTGTGCTCCGACAGGTAATCTCTCCTCAGCACTAATATAACTCTATCTATTTTAAAGGTAATGTCTCATTCGTCACCGTAAAAATTTTTAGGAGGTATGTTTAGTATATGAAATCGATGTCTTTAGTATAATTAATTGAAAACACATTAATGCTCTAGCTGAAGTTTCCTCCCGTCCGGTTGGTAAATGAAGTGATGCTCCAGGTCTCCCCCTAGTGGTACTAAATTATAGGCGCGCCTGCGGGTCTGTGATTTTTATCCCGCTACCATCATTCAATATAACGTTAAAATGCCACTGCTTTTGTATTTGCTATGAATTCAGGTACGGACCCAATGGTAACTACAGACAACTTGCTTTCGCTGCAAAGCCTTCGCTGAAAGCATTCAAACCATCCATTCAAACACATTAAATTAAATCAGAAGCTTGATGCCAGGATCCGTCGGTCATGTTCCGTTTGGCCAGTAGAGGTCGCTGCTCTATTATTGCCACTTCATTGATCCCTATGGGGAAATTCCCATTCCACCTGCCCCCCTTGCTCTCCATGACACAGACACACATGTAGGTGAGAGGAAGCCTGGCAGTGAAGGGCAGCCACCTGCCACAGTGCCCAGGGAGCTGGGGGTTAAGGGCCAAGCTCAAGGGCCCACAGGTGTGACTATTCTGCTGAGGCCGGGCTTGAACCAGCGACCATCCAATCATAGGCACATAGACCTAAGGGGTTTATTTAGCTCAGTAGTAAACTCTTTCTGTACCCGACAGGCAACGAACGGTCTCCCTCCATACTGACCGTGACACTTTGAATGTGAATTTCACACTCTGGTATATTTAGCATTTTTAAGTTTTTAAGTTTATTTACCCCTTTTTGCAGCACATGTGATTTTATTGCATCGTCTGGCCTTTCGTATGTTACTGCAGCCTTCATTACTACTGCCTATTACCCAGAATGACAGGCTTACATTACTCATTCTACACCGTGACTGCTTGTATATTTAATCCAATGACTACTATTTGATCCAGTAGAGCTACTTGCAGAAACATCCTAAGGGAGAAAACTGCAAGGCTTACTCAGACAGAATGCAGCCACATCGACTGTATGTGTATGCATATCTACATATTTTTTAAAAGACTGGATTGGGACTTGGAATCGGTAGATGAAGACCTAAGTATTGAATTGATCAGACTGGGGTAACAAGAAGTGGATCAGGACTTCCTTAATTTTCATTAAAAATGTTTTATTGGTTTGCATGCAGTTGGGTAACTTTTAGGTAATACATGTGGGTAATTTTTTCATGACTTCTTTATGATACTCCAATTATTATTCAGTCAATTAAATAATAGGGCCTAACTGTAGTGCCTAAAAGTAAAGCTAATCCTGCCATTAAAACAGATGTGTTACGTGCCGCTGCAAGTCCAGCTCCGCCCTCAGCAAGTCTCCACTCAGTCATCCTTCGCCCCACCTCCCCGTCCAGACCCCGCCCCCGACTCTCCGCATGCACCATCCGTCACTTCCGTCCCCCCGAAGTGAAAAACCCGACAGCAAGATGTCTCGAGAGCTCTGCTCATTTTTCTTTGATATTATTTGATTGCTTTATTGTGTATGACAGTTTTTGGTTATTGGATTTCTGATTTTTCGCCTTGCCCCCCTCCGTACTTTTTTGCTTTATTTGCTTTTTGGTTTCGATCTTCGCGCGCCGTTCGGATTCTGACGCTTTGCCCTGAGTATGTTCTGTGTGTATGTTAGGTGCGTAGGGAGGGGTTGTCATTTTTGTTTGCAAGTTTTGTTGTTTGGTTAGGAAGTTAGGCGTAGTATTTGTCATTTTGTTCTTTGATTTCTTTGCACTTAGATAAGTTCGATTTTGGTTACGTTTGGTAGCTGTGGTTTTGTTTATTGTGTTGGCTATAATCACTCCTGAGTCCTTCTGTACCGGGTTTATTTGTTCTATGCCCGTGGCATGTAAATAAAAAAACAGAAATATATTTAAAAATGCCCCTTTGTCCACCACACCCTGCCACTTCCACTTTCACTCTGTTACGCCTAAACCCCAGACTGAGGCTCGTAACAGATGCTCGTTTGCTTCATCGGTTTAATCTACGTCGGGCAAGTCTAGAGCAAGATTACTCTGCGTCCATTTTGTTGCAGCTTGATAATTATGAACGGGATCTGGCCAATACCGTAATCTACAAAATCCCACTATGTAATGGCATTGCAGATTACTACAGCCCTTCTTTAGAACTACATGAAGGGGAAACGGAATTCCTAAGTTTTCTCAACTCAATTAAGAAAAAAGACAGGTGCCACTTGCTGGTGAAGAATATTGCATCAACGAAGGGAGCGAATGAAAAGTGTGGTTTCCTCTAAATATTGCCATCTACCTTAATCTAGAGGTTGTTCTGTTCTTTCCTGAGCCAAACCGTGTCTTCTGTCACCCCGGACTACAGAAGAATGTAGTATTGCGTAACGAGCCTTTCGTTCTAATGATCATATTTGTGGATGGAAAATGAGAATCCGAGTGACAAAATCAGAGAAGGAAATCTTTGCTGTTGTGTATTGAAATAGTGTCCAGTCTATATAAAGATTATAGCTTACCTCTAGTGCTCAGGGGAAAAATAAAATGTCTAAATAGGCCTAAATACCAAAGAAAAAGACGATCATACATACACAAGTGTGCAAAAACTCACCTGGAGAAACGTACGACCTCACACCAGTCTCTTTACAATCATCTGAACGTTATCACGGATTACAAAAAAAAATATATATACTTTATATTAAAATCTGATGAGAAGCATTGGTACTAATCTACACTGGCCAGTACATCTACCTTCGAAGCAGTCAAGCCAGGTTCTCTTCTGGGCCAATGAAATCCAGTTTAAGTTTGTATCTTATTATGATAAGGAATAAAACTTCATCACCTTGGTCACATCAAAAATCACAAACCCCCATTGGAGTCATACACTGAATGCTTATGAAAAGACTTGCATAAACATTGCTCACATATTAAAAATATGAAAGTATAAACATCTTAAAAAGATGTGCATTTTTGCACATATAGAGTTGCATTGCATTGTATCCTCTCCCTGCTGGAAGACAGAGGTTTTTTATTAAACACGCTGGGGCGGATGTCCTCAGCGCCGGATGTCCTCAGTGCCGTTTGTGCTCAGTGCTGGATGTCCTCAGTGCCTTGCCCTTGCATAGCCAGGGTGACCGTTGCAGGTGTGATTCAAGGGCTCCCTGCTGGGTTCAGGGCTCCTTTTTCAAACATGAACAGGTTTCATCTGCTCTCTCCAGGTCACCCCTTGCTGTGGCCAGTGGCTGGCTGGAGCCTAGTTCATGCTCCACTTTCCCGCATGTGCGTTCGGCCCGCCGAAGGTCATGCACGTGGAATCTTGTGTTCAATAGCAAAAACGCAAAGCTTTAACTTGTGTTCTTGGCAAGACCGCTCTTGCTAACTTGCCTCCCAAAAACTAACTTGGGGCAAGAAGGACATCTGGGGATTTTTACCGTCCTCTGAACTTCTGTTCTTGAGTACTGGAACTGGTCTTCGGCAATGGAAGATGACGTAAAACGGGTAAACGAGAACGGTCAAGTGCACACATTGAGGCACCCTTAATTTGTCCTTGGAGACAGATGGTCGCGGTCCGCGCATGCATACAGCAATTGCATTCCACCAGACCAGCAGAAGGCAGATATATTACAGCAAACACAAATACAAGCTGTGTAGTGAAATGGGTAAACTTTATTAATAAATTTAAAGTTGTTAGGGTCGGGCGGTATTAAAGTAATACGGCATACCACAGTATTTTGAAATCCTTACGACAAAATTAACCTGTATGGGATTCGCCATCCAAGAATAACTTAAGTAATTTAAGTACTAATTGATTATTAAATCGCGTGTCGGTCTTTTGGATGCGTGTCTGAAGAAACCTGAAAAATCTATGTGCCCCTTTGCGTTTTCTTTCATGTTCCAAGCAATGAAACCCTGATCCGCTCGCATGGCACGCAGTCGCGCGAATGCTGCTACTGTTCAACAAGCGTGAGAATGTCGCCGGCTGGTGACGTCATCCCCAGGGCTTTGAAGGTGAGCGAAACACCTCCATGGGCTGGGTGGAAATAAAGGCTGCCGCACCCCGGCCGGCTGCCAGAGTTCTCCATCCGGCTGCACGCCCCAACGCTAATTTTTATCGGCGTTTCCCCTAAGAAAATGGCTGTGAACAAGTTTATAAAGTATTCCTTATTCATCTTTAATTTTCTCTTCTGGGTAAGAAATACATATACTTTATCTTTGTGTGTAATAAGTTCTTGTGAGATTTAGTTTGTGACCTTTTGTATTGTTCAGATGTTATAATGATATTTGGAGATTCTGTTATGATATTTTACGCCTATTTGAAACTTTTGTTTTTGTCTATGAAATTTAGGGCGTATTTCCCAGAAAACTTGTGGAATAGTATGTGATCATTTTCACTTGGATGAAGGGCCCCCGTGGTTCCTACACCTCTGGGTACAATCAGGGCTTGGGGTGGGCCGATACTCACCTGGATGCAGTATCGGTACCTGTTTTTCGGTACCAGGAGCGTTTCCTGCGGTACTGTAGCCTGCTTTCTCACGCTCCGAGCACTGAATACAGTCAAGCACGCCGCATCCACACAGACCTGCTCCTCTGGTTAGCGGGTCTCCTCTGCGGCTTCCCCTGCGGGTGTCTGTGTGGCGCTCGGACAGACTCGCATTGTTCGCACTTATAGGGCTTGATCATTTTCACTCGGATGAAGCCTTTCCCCGTTTAATCATGTAGCTCTGATATAGCCCAGAATCTTTTAGAATCATGCATGTATTATTAAAAACATAATACTTTTTTATACTGTTAATATAGATGATGTTATTATGGGAGCTCTTGTTCCGGTTGCCATGGTTTTAAAAGCTCCGCCTCCTTGAATCTAATCGCACCTATGCCAGAGGGCAGCTACCCCCAGCATTAACCCTTTTTCTTAATTAATCCACCTAAATTTAAAGATCCATCGAAAACGATTTAGTGAAAGGTCAGTTTTGCTCTATAAATCAGTTTTTTTTCAATCCGCTTTAATATTAATCTTCATTGGCAGATCATTTCTCTAGTATATGACGCTTTGATCTCTGTCCCATGTCTTTGCATTTTGACTTAATTCCTTTCTGCTGACACAGGGCCGCAAACCTTCACGCATGGGGCGTGACACGCTCGCTTTCAGACTCTCAGGCTCACGCAAGAAATCTTACGGCAAATCTATATTATTACGTTTTAAAGCTGAATTTAACTGCATCAAAAGCCTTGGTGGTGGTCTGCAAACCCTACAGACTATTTTTCAAGGTAATACATGTAAATGCAGGTGTATGCAGATTTGTTTCGAAGTGAAAATCAAATTTGGCTGTGCTGCTGACACGGGGTCCATGGTTCAGACTTGCTGGTAAATTTCCACCTCCCTAAGTGAGGGTGACCTCAAGCGGAACAGCACAACGCACCCAGTCCGACCTGTTCTGCCGGTTTCCAGGTTTCGATTGTGCCTCAGCGTGGGCAGACGGACAGCCGTGAAATGCATTGCTCCGTACACTAGGAGAGTGGTTACTGGTGTCACAATTTAAATATTAATTGGTTTACTTGGTAAATGTATTTATTCTATAAACAACGATTGGGTCGCTCTGGACAGTAATTGTCTGCATGTATTAACGTTAAAAGGTGTTTTGAGTTAAGTCTTCTACGATGCGAGTGCATGAATATAACCATTTAAACATTTAACTATTTTTTATATATATATATATATATATATATATATATATATATATATATATATATATATATATATATATATATATATATATAATTTATTTAAAAAAAAAATAAATAAAAAATTCAGACATTCAATAATGCTGTATGCACCTATGATCGGTAACCACCTAATCCGTGTCAGGGAGGACACTCTGGGCTAGGACAGGAATTATAAATGACCATTTCAATTAAAAGGACCTGGATTTCACTTGAGCACTGAGTTCTTGCTGTGTGCTGATTGGTCAGTCTCCTATAATCATGCATGTGTCACTAATGCTAATGTGAAACAGCTGGATGAGTCTTTCAGTCAAGGAAACAAACCAGTCAAAGCACAAGAAGAACTGAACTATTCAGCCAAGTACAGGAGCCTTTCAGTGGCCAGTGTCGTGAAGGACGTTTTGAGCTACCTCAGGTTTTACAAACTGCTTTAAAATTGCTAAACGATACATTTAAAGCAGTTTATAAGACCTGAGAGCTCATGGTGTCCTTCCTGACGTTGACCACCCCTGACTTAATCAATCGTATCCGCAAAGGGCCAGTACGGTGGTTTTTGGGGTAATCTATAGATCCACTGTTCAAACCTAGGTGTGAGGACTCTTCAGCCAATCAGTCCTCTAAATAGTCATCTAATTCGGGAGTTAGAGCGAAAAGCTACACAGAAAGCGGCCCATTTTGGATAAGATTGGCCACCCCCTATAAAGCCCGATTGATCACAGGGGAGATGCCCTGTGTTCTTATATCGCTGCAGGAAATGGGCTGATGGTTACGGATTAGTGTGTGTTTTTCTACATTTGCAAATTACCTGATTCAACTTAAATGATTTTATTTGCACCTCCACCATAGTCACGTAAGAGTCTCGTGATTTTTCTTAGCGCCAGGAAACTCCCAAATTATGATGGCTATACTGGTTCTGCAAAGGTCTACAATCCAATGCATGTTTGTTTGTTTTTTTTCTTTCTGAAATTCCTCCCTGTTTTTCATACTTCATTCCTCTTCAAATCGTCCCCACTGTCCTCCTTTTTGTGCATTTTTTTTTTTTTGTTTTTTCTAGCAAAAAAATGTTCATTTAACTTAAACGGCATCTGTAAAGCATGCAAAGCAGCCTCTAGTGCATACCACCTTGGCCCCCCTGCTGGGGATGCCACTCTCTATATAAAGAAATATGGGCCTCCCATGGTAGAATTTGCCGAGCGGGGATGTAATGTTCCCCAAGCATATGAATTATATTTTTTAGTATCCAGAGGCCCCTATAAAGTGCTCAGGTCCTTGAACCAGCCCCCCCTTCCAAGGCCCCTGTGACACTCTTTAATGCAGTAAATACAGCCATGAATCGAGCCTCAGTTATGTCAGACGTTCTGCTGTAAATGCATGGCTTGGTACGTTTGCACCAGCGCTGTCATTTCGCAGCGTGGAAGGTTAATGCTCTGCTTTGCATGTTCAGCTTCCTTCCCAGGCATGAATGAGTCATGAGGCTCAAATGGCCGCCTGCAGTTTGCTTCGCAGTGCTGATAAACACTGTACTTTTAAATAATTAATTGCAATACTAGTAATTTCCTAGCAGATACTCCTACCATCAGCAGCCCTTGTTCTACAATTTCAGCATGTTAATTGTATTTGAACGAATGCCTCTCATTCAGATGCCCGAGGCTCTCTGGCTTTTTAACAGAGAAGCGCTGGTTCCTGTGTGAATGATCTCCGCCATGACATTCTCGTCTGCTTCCCTCCTTAGCTATGTGGATGTGGCATCCTTGCCATCTCCATATACCTGAAGGTGACCAACAATGGGAATAAGGTACAGAGTCCACAATGTGTATCTCGCCTCCTACCAGATAGGTCTGACCATTTTTATCAAATGTGCTCAGTGAGGCACCACAAACATCACTGTAAAATAGACCACCCTTTCCATGCACTTCAAATGACCCATGCACTGGGGCAGGTTGTTTGTACTAAAATGTGAACATGTCTACGTTAAAAATTAAAACCCTCTTCAATGTGTTTTTCAGATGTACTGCTCTGCCCTTTTGACTGCTGTCACCCTGTGGTTTCCTAGGTCCTGAGTGTAACTATTCCCGGTGTCGACCTGCTGATTGCCATCGGTGCGGTGATCATGGTCCTTGGGTTTCTGGGATGCTGTGGCGCCATTCGCGAGAGCCGCTGCATGCTGCTGCTGGTACGGATCCGTTCGAAAAACCCATGACCACGCACTTCAGTAAATCTCCCCCCAGTGAAAACCAGAGGTGGGTGACGCTGGTCAGTGGAGGGACACAGTACCTGTATGTCTTCAGTTACCTGTTAACACCAGCTGAATGTAGATGCTCTTTCTATAGCAGCATGACTAAAGCAACTTAGACCTGTGTGAGAGACTGAAGAGCCCTTCCTGCCTGACCATACAACTAAAGTTACTTGTATCCATTACAACATTCTTAGCATACACTTGTACACCTATGGGTCTGTTAAAGTGGGGTTAATCTGCCAGACTGGATGCCTTATGCACCATAGCTTTTATGATATCATCTGTCACCATTCTAACCTGGGGACTGGAATACCGAACTTCTACCACAACATGGAAAGAAACCGTTTCATTCCTGCCAGGACCTCCGCTCTCTACCGCGGGCTCCGTCTTAAACGGCAGTGACTCTTCCCAAAACTGCTGTGGTACCAATCTTTCCTCTTCTTGTTTGTTTACTGAAGAGTAGATCTTCAATCTGCCCGGGATGCTAATGGTAACTCTCCTTTCAGTTCTTCATCGGCTTGCTTCTCATCTTCATCCTCCTACTGGCTGCAGGAATCCTGGGTGCCGTTGCACAATCACAGGTAAAACGGGGTGGGGGTGCGGGGTTGGGGCTGGGTGCGGGTTCTTATCTTAGTTTGAAACAGGAAGTGGTTTTTGCGGGTGGTTAATTTTGGCTCATGTGCAGTTGGCATGTGTTCCTTTCTCTTCAGGTTGACAGCTGGCTAAAGGGAGAACTTCAAAAACTTATGCCTTTATCCAACCAGCCATCAGATGTCCAGCATGATATTGGCATACTGCAACAGGAGGTACTCGGAATCATATGGTCTTGTCCTCAGTATTGATCTTCAAAGAACGCTTGACATTGAAGCACTAGGTTACCTAGGAGAATAGCACACCCAGAGATTCAGAGCTTTGAAATGATTTATAGTGCAAACCTGCAGAATATGTCTATATGTAATGAGATATTTCAGGAACAGGGGACCCAAACATAGTGAGCAGGAAAACAAAATGTGTGGCAAGAGTCATAGTCAAGGACAGAAGCAAAGGTCAAGGAGCCAGAAAGTCTGTGCTGGTGGTGAAGGGTTAGACTGGGATCAGGGCACGCTCACCCGGCACGTTAACGGGAGACGCGCACTCGCACCGAGACTGGGATCAGGGCGCGCTCACCGGGCACGTTAACGGGAGACGCGCACTCGCACCGAGACTGGGATCAGGGCGCGCTCACGGGAGACGCGCTCTCACTGAACCAGACGAAGGGAGAATCAAGCACTTGAGGAAAAGCAAGAATCTGAAACTCAGTAACAGGACATGAGCCAAACAATTCCTCACACTGGAGAAACCTGCTAAGCAGCCTAGTCGATTAGGAGAATGAGGAAAAGCTGTCAGAACTCCAGGGAAGGCAAGTGCCAACAGGGGCATGGCTGGGGTGCAGACAGTGGAACCGGATCAGGCCTTACAGTATCTATTTTCACTCTTCCCTCCCCAGGGGCTATGCTGCGGGCTGACGGGGGGGCCCCAGGACTGGGCCAATCAAGTGCCAGACACGTGCAAATGCACAAACACATCCGCCCAATGCGCACCCGTGGCCGGTAACAGTGTGTACACCACGGTGAGGGTCCCAGGCATCTATGGGCTGATCCCAAGATCACACTTGTCCCCGTCACACTGACCTCTGTCCTGACTCCATGCCTCATTCAGTTTATGCTTTAACTTGTATGGTTCTGTTCCCCTCAGCCCTGTGTCACATATTTGACAAACATAATGAAGAAAAATGCGAAGATTGTCGCAGGAATTGGTTTTGCCATCGGGGTAGTGATGGTAAGGATGCACTCGGTGGAGGGTAATAAGTAAGGGAAGGAACCTCAGTATCTGGTACTGAGCATGAGAGCTTTTAACGGAGGAGTGTGTCCTGCTGGCCTTCACTGCCTCCCCGCTGACCCCCAGAGCATATTCCCAGTGTCGCTTTCCTCTTCTGCAGCTTATAGGAATGAGCTTCGCCATGACCCTCTACTGCCAGATCGGCAGGAAGGGCGGCGTGACCACCTCCTGAGATGTCCTTCAAGATGATTTCTGTCCCACCTACAAGATGATCATTTATAGGTGACAGCTGAAGATTGTGTAGAGAAAAAAAATATATATGTATGTATGTATGAATTTGTAAATGCATAGGACATGGAGGAATAAGGTTCACATGCAAAACTCGGTTTTAAATTTGTTCTAATTGGATTTTGGATCAGGTTTCTAGCATAACTCTACCAGCCTTCTGTCTGTCCAACCATAAAATGAAATGCCTACAAAGACATTCAGAGGAGAATGTTCTTGTGTTTTGTTTAGAGAGATATGTCTGCAGTCGAGTAACATTTTTATCTGATGTCTGTCTTAACCGTTTGGTGGTGGTTTGACTTTGTATTTAAAGACAATGTTGGTTATTATCGATTTCGGGAACTGTCTTATGCTCCTCGCACCAGACTTGTGATTAATAATCTGTTTCTGAAAATGCTAAAGAATTGTGTTCTTTCGGCTTTTGCTAAAAAATAAACTTGGGGAAACTTTACCAAGTAGTTTGGGTTTTGTTGTTGCTGCAAGGGCCATGCTAATCTTTTCTGTATCACCCTAATTTTAGTATATCTGCTGCAAAATTAATAATACTTATGTACAAGTACTGTTATTTAAAGATATTTAAAGAATACAATTTCACAAACATAGACTGCTAGTAATAAGTGTAAATGTTCTCCATTATTACTTTCCACCACTGTGCGTGTCTGAAGAAACTTGAAACGCAATTGTGCCCCTTCGCCTTTTCCTTTGTGTTCAAAGCACTGAAAACTCCGACTTGCCCGCGTGGCACCCAGTCGTGCAAAAGCTGCTACTGTTGAAGAAGTGTGAGAATGTCACACGCTGGTGATGTTGTTCCGTGGGCTTTTAAAGTTTCTGGTGGTGAGCGAAACACCTCCATGGGCTGGTTGAGAATGAAGGCTGCCGCACGCCGGGCTGGGTGAGAATGAAGGCTGCCGCACCCCGGGCTGGGTGAGAATGAAGGCTGCCGCACCCCGGTCTGGGTGAGAATGAAGGCTGCCGCACCCCGGCCGGCTGCCAGAGCTCTCCATCCGGCTGCACGCCCCAACGCGAACTTTATCGGCGTTTCCCCTAAGAAAATGGCTGTGAACAAGTTTATAAAGTATTCCTTATTCATCTTTAATTTTCTCTTCTGGGTAAGAAGTGCATATACTTTTTTTATCTTTGTGTGTAATAAGTTCTTGTGAGATTTAGTTTGTGACCTTTTCTATGGTTCAGATGTTATATTGAGATTCAGTAATCAGTTTTGGGGTTCTATTATATATTTTTAATATTTTTATAGAAATGGTATTTTTTAATTCCTTGCTTAAGATTTGCTGGTTCAATATAGTAAATGTTATTTGTCAAATATAGAAATATGAAGGTCTGTTTCTTGGGGGGTTGGGTGTAAATTAAGCCAAATTATTAAATTTTTTTTTTTTTTTTGGGGGGGGTGGGTGAGCACATCCCCCCCAGTTCCTACATCTGACTTGTTCCATCACAAGTCCCATCACAGGCAGGGCCCTACAGTAAACTCAACACAAATTACTCTAGTAAAAAATTGACATACACACACCTAAAGGATTATTAGGAACACCTGTTCAATTTCTCATTAATGCAATTATCTAATCAACCAATCACATGGCAGTTGCTTCAATGC